GTTCAACATCACTAGCAATGAGAGAAATGCAAATTAAAACTACATTGAGATTTCATCTCAATCCATTCAGAAGGGCAATCATCAAGAATACAAGTAACAATAAATATTGGCAAGGATGTGAGGAGAAACCTTGCTGGTGGGACTGCAAATTGGTGCAACCACTCTAGAAAGCAGTGTGGAGATTCCTCAGAAACTTGGAATGGAACCACCATTTAACCCAGTTATCCCTCTCCTTGGTATATACCCAAAGGACTTAAAATCAGCATACTATAGTGACACAGCCACATCAATGTCCATAGCAGCTCAATTTACAATAGCTAAGATGTGGAACCAAACTAGGTGCCCTTCAACAGATTAAAGGATAAAGAAAATGTGTTATTTATACACAATGGAATATTACTCAGCCATAAAGAAGAATGAAATTATGGAATTTGCAGGTAAATGGCTATCATGCTAAGTGAAGTAAGCCAATCCCAAAATCCAAGAGATGAATATTTGCTTTGATATGTAGATGCTGACTTACAATGAGGAGGGGGTGTGGGTTCACTGGATTGGAAGGGAATGGGGAGGAAGGGAGAGGGGATGGAAATGGTAAAAGACAGTAGAACAAATTCAACATAACTTTCCTAGGTTCATATGTGAACATATGAACCAGTGTAACTCCACAAGAATGGGAAGTTATACTCCATGTATGTATGATATGTCAAAATACATTCTACTCTCATGTATAACTGAAAAGAGCAACAACAACAAAAAGACCATGGTAGGGGGCAGGAGTGGTTGTGCACACCTGTAATCCCAGTGGCTAGGAAAGCTGAGGCAGGAGGATTGCAAATTCAAGGACAGTCTCAGCAGTTTAGTGGGACTCCAAACAATTTAGTGAGACTCTGTCTCAAAATAAAAATTTAAAAGGGCTGGGGATGCGGCCCAGTTAAGCATCCGTGGGTTCAATCCCCACTACATACATACATACATACATACATAAGTAAATATTTTTTAAAAGGACTAGAGTGTTGCTCAGTGGTAAAGTATTCTTAGGTTCAATTCCCAAAATGAGTACCAAAATAAGTGTATAAATAAGTTAATTAGTTGATTATAATTATTATCTTTTTAAAAAGATTTTTAAAAGATAAAAAGATTTATTTATTTATATGTGGTGCTGAGGATCAAACCCAGTGCCTCACACTTGGGAGGCCAGTGCTCTACCACTGAGCCCCAGCCCCAGCCCCTATTACTATCATTATTTGAGGTGCTGGGTATCAAAAGCAGGACCTTGTCAGGCAGAGCCACTACCACTGAGCCACATCCCCGGCCCTTAGTTAATCAATAAAACAAAAAGACACATAAATTTGGAAAAAGGAATACTAGGCAAAAAGGAAAAAGAAAGAAAAGATGAGCTGGGGATGTAGCTCATAGAAAAAAAACACCTGCTTAGCACACAGGAAGCCCTGGGTTTGACCCTCCAACACCCCCCCACACACACACACACAACAGGTACATTTAAAAAAAAATCATTTGAGAGAAAGAGGGCCATTATATCACGATAAAAGTTCAATTCACAGAGAGAGATAGCATTTCTAAAATGTTGTACATCCAATAACATCACCTCAATATATGATAGAAATTGATTAATCTGACATAGTGGGATATTTTAACACACCTCTTACTAATTGTTGATATTTTAACATACCTCTTACTAATTGTTAGTACAAGTAAGGGACACAGAAACTTCAAATCAAATTTTAATAAGCTATCATGTTCCAACCATCTGTCTATACCTATGTCAACACAGTACTTCACTGTCTTAATTACTGTTGGCTTAAACAAATTGTCCTTAATAACATCCCTGGCATACAGCAGGTGCTTAATAAAAGTCACTGACGGCAGCAGCAGCAGTAAATTACTTTGGCCCAGTCATTTAACCTCTGTGAGCCTCCCTCAGTTACTTCTTCCAAAAAGTGTTCATAATAATAAATTATTTTTCCAAGTTGTTTTACTAACCAAATAGAATAATGCACGCGAAGACATTTCATAAAGTGTGGGAACAATGTAGGAATCACTGCTCCTGCTGGTGGGCTGGCACTACCAAGCACCAAATGTCAAGGTAAAGTGTCCATCTGAGCAGTCACTAGGTGGAACAAGAGCACCCAGGGCATGCAAAGTCATGCCATGCCAGAGCTCTGGGAGCACAGGAGAGAGACAGGGTGAAGAGGAGCCGGAAGGCTGCTTGCTGGGGCAGCCTGCCCTCTGGTGGATGAACCTAGACAGTCATGGCCTTCTTATCCCAAAGGAGCTGCTAGAGAGACTCTGGGTATCTCCCTGGGGAGCAGGTAAGACACAGGCTGGGTTCTCTGAAAACAGACACATGCAAGCTGGCAAAACTTTGCTCCATCAACCTGCCGGGGGCCTGCTGTAACCATTGTCTGCCTGAGTGTGGAACCTGAAGTCGGAACAGCCTGACCTCCTTCAGCCCCCAGGTTGCCCGAGATGCCCAAGATGCCCTAGGAAGGGTGGGTGGGGGTGTCTCAGCCCCTGAGGTGGGTTTAGAGGAAGTGATGCTGCAGGATGTCGCAGAGGGACAGCAAGTCTACCCCTGTATGTATGCTTTTCTCGGCTCCCTCCACCCCCTACCATACTGGGAATTGAACCCAGGGGTGCTTATCCACTGAGCCACATCCCAGCCCTTTTTATTTTTTGAGACACGGTCTTACTAAGTTGCTTAGGGCCTCCCTAAGTTGCTGAGGATGACCTTGAACTTGTGATTCTCCTGCCTCAGGCTCCCAGTCACTTGGATGACAGGTCTGGGCCACCACACCTGGCCATACATTCTTTTTTATGAAGACAAAGCATCACATAAAGTTTTTGACTCAGCTAATGCTTTTGAGATTAAGGGTTCCACTTCTGGCCTCAGTGCACTCAGTCTCTGAATGTGCTCTGCCCTGGGAAGGGTGGGACCTGGCTGACCCTGACAGAGGTGACAGCTGCAGGCAATCCTCTGACTGCAGATGAGTCCTTAGTCAGTCCTTGATGGAGCATTGCCAGTAAAGGGTCAGATCGACTGCCTGCCACCCCGCCTTTCCTCCTCCTCCTCCTCTTCTTCTTCCTCTTACACAATACGTTTATTTATTTATTTATTCATTTATTTATTTTTATGTGTAGCTGACGATCAGATCCGGGGCCTCACACGTGCTAGGCAACTGCTCTACCACTGAACCACAACCCCAGCCAGCCCCCCTCACCTTTCTTCTTAAACTTGCCCTCCTCAGGGTCCCAAGACGATGAGGACAGCTCTAGAATCATACACAGACTGAGCACGAGAATGGAAAGGGGACTCTGCCTTCCTGTGCCTCCCTGAGGACAAGCAGGCCTTCCTAGGCCCCACAGCACACTTTTCCTCATGGGTCACCAGCCAGAAAAGAAATCGGATGATCTGGGAAGGCCTTCTGGAACCTGAAGCTTACATCCTCTGGTTCTTGAGAACCACCCTCTCAAGAGACCCTCTCTGTCCTCTCCACAGGCTCTCTCAAAAATTTATCCATTAGACAAAATTCTTGAAACTCCACGACATACCAGGCGCTGTTCCAGACGCTTGTACCCACAGTGAAGAAAACCAAGTCCTGGCCCTGGTGGAACTCCCGTTCTAGTCGGGAAGACTTTCAGGAGTGTAAAGGCATTAGGTAATTTGGTCTATTAGATTGTGTAAGCTAAGAAAGAAGCAGCAGGGGAAAGTGGAGCAGGGTGAAGGGACAGGATCACCCCAGAAAGGCGCTGGCTGGATTCCTCATAGAGTAGGCAGGCCAGTCTCTGAGGGGCAGGTTTTTTGTTTGGTTTGGTTTGGTTTTGGCAATGCTGGGAAGACAAGGAGGCCAAGTGCATTTGGACAAAAATGGGCAAGAGGGAGGGCAGTTAGTGATGAGGTCGCAGAGCTAACAGGTCACAAAAGGCCTGCAAGCCATTAAGGACTTAGGCTCCCCACCCACCCACCCACCCAGGCCCTACCACGGAGTCCCACCCCAGCCCCCAGGACTTTGGCTTTCACTGGAGTGAAATAGGGAACCTTTTCCAGGGTTTCGACCTGAGCGGAGAAGTGGACTTATGTTTTTTAAAGGATTGATGCAGATGGTGCGTGGAGAAGGGATCCAGGGGGGATGGGCGGCTTACCAGAGGCTGGCTCAGGGAACCAGGTAAGAGGTGAGCTGCTGCGGCCCCGCCCGCTGGAGTGGACTAGAGTTGATATGAACCTGGCTGTCTTCTGCTCCGAACCAATGGATGTTGATGATGGATTAGGTGGAATATGAGAAGAAATAGTGTCAAGGATACCTCCTAAGTCTGGCCTGAGCAACTGGAAGGTATGGTAGAGGGAAGCAGCTTGGTGGGGGAGAGAAGGGGCGCCACGCCCCCAATGAATCACTTCCTCCAGGTACACCCCACCTGCCTTCAGTTACCACCCAGTTAATCCCATCAGGGAACCAATTAACTGATTAGGTTAAAGCTATGACCCAATCATTTCTCCTCCAAGCCTTCTAGCATTGCCTCATGCATGAGCTTTTAGGGGACACCTCATATCCAAACCATAATACTTGCTAAGTTGCTGAGGCTGGCCTCACACTTGGGATCCTCCTGCTATAACCTCCCAAGTCACTAGGATTACAGGTGTGCCCCACTGCACCTGGCAGGGTATATGCAGTTTCAAACGATAAATCTTCTCCAACATTCCTCTTCTTCTACCTTAGGATTTTTTTTTTTAAGTTGTTGATGGAGCTTTATTTTATTTATTTATATGTGGTGCTGAGAATTAAACCCAGTGTCTCACACATCTAGGCAAGCACTCTACCACTGAGCTACAACCCCGGCCCTCTTGAGCTTAGAATTTTACCCAGGGAAATGCTGTCTCAACCCCATTGCCATAGATCATGTGGAATACTAGTTCCGGGCAAACAAGTGAACTATCAGAATTACTTTCAGCTGTAAGAGACACTGTGCTCTGTGTACTGAGCACTGTGCTCACTTTGGCAGCACATATATGAAAATTGGACCCATACAGAGAAGATTAGTGTGGCCCCTGCTCAAGGATGACACGCAAGTTCTTCGTGGAGAATTCCATGTTTGTGCCATTCTTGGAAGGTTATTTAAGAATTGCATGCTCTCTACAAGAAGATAAAATCAAAGCATCCAAATTGTGACTTTCATACAAAATAATTTGTGTAAGCGATCTATGCAATGCGAACAGAGAAGAGTTACACATGACATGTTGTGAGTGAATATGCCACTAGTACGCACATCAGGTAGGAGGAAAAGTCAACAGGTATCTCCCTTCACTTAACTTAAATAATTAAAAAAAATTTTTTTTGTGGTTGTAGATGAACACAATACCTTTATTTTATTTGTTTATTTACATGTGGTACTGAGGATCGAACTCAGAGCCTCACACATGCCAGGCAAGTGCTCTACCACTGAGCCACAAAACCCAGCCCAACTTAAAGAAATTTTAAAAACCTAGTACATTACATCCAGAACCTCTAGGGCTGGGGTTATAGTTCAGTGATAGAGCACTTGTGTAGCATGTGAGGCCCTGGATCCAATCCCCAGCACTGGGAAAAAAAAAACTAGAACCTCTAATAAGGGCACTGATGCCAGTGAATCCAGCCTGGCCCCCTGTACCTTCCTTCCTCCAGGACTCCACCCCAGATCTGTGAAAGCAGGTTCTTCAAGGCAGGCGCTAGCATCTGGCTGCCAACCAGCTTCCCAGGTAAATGTTCTGTGGCCAGCTGGAATCCACCCAAGGAAGAACATTTGGAACCACTGGTCTCATCTACTTCCTTCCTTTTATCAGACCACAGAGCTGAGGCTCCACAGAGAAAGTGACTTGCTTTAAACCAGGAGGGAGTTAATGCCACAGGAAACTTTGGTTTCTTGCCTTCTTAAAGGAATATCTCCTGCTCTTCCAGGCCAACTTTATAATAAACCTGGAGGTAGTTGGACAGCAGAGAGCTTACTGTGGAGGTGGATTAGATGGTGAGATCACTGAGGCTGCCCATGTTCCATGTCATGGGCACCCTGAAGGAGGTGAGATAATCCTAGTTTGGGAAACAATGATGTTTCCCTCAGGTTGGTTTTGATTGTAACCAACTCAAAATCAACCCAACAGGACTAGGGCAAAAGAATGTACTGGGTGGGCAGGCTAGGGTGTAGCCCAGGGAAGAGCATTTGCAGGGCACAGGACAAGGCCCTGGGTTTGGTCCCCAGCACTGCAAAAGAAAGGAAGGAGAGAGAGAAAATGACTTGTTCAACTGTAAGGACCACTTTGCTTCATACCTGACCTTGGTGCAGAGATGCAAATGGTCAAGATTGGTTTTCTTTTTTTAAATATTTTTAAATTATAGATGGACACTATATCTTTATTTTGTTTATTTTATTTTATTATTTTTTTAATGTGGTGCTGGGGATCAAACCCAGGGCCTCACGTATGCTAGGCAAATGTTCTACCACTAAGCCACCACCCCAGCTCAAGATTGCTTTTCACTCTCTCCAATACCCAGTGCTTTTCCTTCTAGGTCGCCCCTATCCTTGGGTGGGCTCTACCCCCACAGCCTGGTATTCCTAGCTGCTGGCCCTGCAGTGTCTCAGCATTCTCAGCAAAAGTCGCATTGGCCAGCCAGACCCAGTGGCACATGCCTGAAATCCCAGCGGATTACAGACTGAGGCAGGAGGATCACAAGTTCAAAGCCAGCAATTTAGTGAGGCCTTAACCAACTTAGTAAAGTGAGACCCTGCCTCAAAACAAAAAATAAAAAAGGGCTGGGAACTTAGCTCTGTGGTAAAGCACCCCTGGTTCAAACCCTAGTACAAAAAAAAAAAATCTTATTAACAAAAATTGAGTAACAGAATTATATGGCCAATCCTTAAAGGCAATAGCAGCAAGAGAAATGCGCTAAGGTTTTGGACACTAGCCTAGGTCAAGCACCCACCCTGAGCCAGTTTACCCCATTCAGGGACTGACAGCAGAAAAAAGGTGACCAAGATCAGAGCAAGAAAACCAGAGGAAAGGTGAATAATTGCTGAATGGCTAAACCCACACGTGTGTGCTCAGGGCTAGGAAGGGCGGAGAAGTTGACAATGACAGTGGAGAAAGTGAGAATTATAACCCAGGGGTAAATTATTTATCTATTTATGGGGCTGGGGACTGAACCCAGGGCCTTGTGTGCTGTACCACTGAGCTGCCCACCGGCCCCTTATAGTAAGGTATTGGTTATACACTGTAGAGTATTAGAGTATTAGATGGTTTTAATGTGCACTTTAATGTGACAGACACTTTGGGGTGTCTATCCAGCTCTCAACCTTCACCTTTTCTGGAAATTACCCTCTTCAGGTATAAATGAATAAATTCCCATGGCTGGGCATGGTCAATGTGATCCAACACCTCCCTAGAGGGGCCTCACCCTTGAAAGGGCCTCATCTGGCCTGTTGCATATCTGTAATCCCAGCAACTCAGGAAGCTAAAGCAGGAGGATTGTGAGTTCGAAGGCAGCCTCAGCCAATTTGAGAGGCTCTAAGCAATTTAGCAAGACACCATTTCAAAATATATATATATAAACAGGGCTGGGGATGTGACTCAGTGGTTGAGTGCCCCTGAGTTCAATCCATGGTACCAAAAATAAATAAATAGGCTCATATATGAATAGGACCCCCAAAATAATTTATTGAGGATCCCAAGACTGGGGGTGTGGCTCAGCAGTGAAGCTCTTGCCTAGCATGTGCAAAGTCCTGGGTTCTGTCCCCAGCATGGGGTGGGGGAGGGTGGGGGAAATTGGAGGGCAGGGTGGGAAATCCCACGGGCATCTGTCATTTGGGACCCAGTGCTTGACACTGCACTGCTTCAGCTGGGACTCTCAACTTCTGTTCTCACAGCCATCACCTTTCAACCCGAGGAAACAAACACTTCTCCACTCTCTTTTCCAGTGTCCTGGAAACAAACCACTCTGCATCTGAATGTGCTGCTGCTAATGTGGGAGATGACACCTCTTGGAGTGTGAGGAAGACTGGGGTGAAGGCGCTTAGTTAAGAGAAAAGTCGAATTAAGAGCCATCAAATCCTTCCTCCCCAGCAGACACAGGTAAAGGTCTGCAGAGGAAGAAGCTTTCCTGGCAGTGCTACGGGTACCTTTCTTGCTTCACTTTTTGTTCCAACCTGTAGTATGGTGTTTTCAATAGTGGCAAAGGAGGACTGAGGGACACTCTGCACTATTAAACAATGTCTTTTACTTGTAGATTTGTAAATGAAGGCTAAGCATGATGTGGACGAAGCATGAGGCCAGTTCTTCAAGTTTTGCTTTATAAGATGGTGAAAATTGTGATCTAAGACAGGTGGGTCCATCATTGTGGCACACACCTGTAATCCTAGTGATTGAAGAGGCTGAGGCAGGAGGATTGAAAGTTCAAGGCCAGCCTCAGCAATGTAGCAAGAAATTTCCCAAAATAAAAAGATCTAGGGATATAGCTCGGTGATAGAATAGTCTTGGATTTGATCCCCTCTACTGAAATACAAAAACATGATGTATGTGGTGCAATGTGTTGTGTGTTCATGATCATTTGTCATGAATACTCCATTTAAATGTTGAAGCATGTTGCCCAGTGGAATTACAGGGTGCCCCCCTGCACCCAGCTTAAAACATCTTTTAATTATGCATTATGAAGTGCATTGGTCAAGGTGGGAGGATAGATTTCTCGCCAGCTCACTAAGAGAAATCCTATTTCTTTTTTATGTGCTCCCCTACTTTTCTTAGTAAAGCCTGGGCTTGAGGTGAGGAAGATGTGGCTGCTGCAGTGTTGATGAGGAGGATGGGATCAAAGGGAGTAACCGGGGCTGCCCTCATTTCAGTGCTAGCTTCAACCCAGAGCACTTGAATTTCCACAGAGAGGACGGGGCAAGCAGGCTGCTGGCAGGTAGCAACGACAGCCCTGCCTGCCCCCAAAACAGCCCTCAGGTTTCCCCTGGGATTCCAGTGCTGGGGATGTAGTTCTAGGGTAGAGGAGAAGAGTGACTGGGCCGAACTCTGGGCTCCGGGTGGGGTCTTGTCCAAATGCAGAAACCCGAGCAGCAGGCAAACTGCTAGAAATACTATGAGCACCCTCCAGGCTGATTTCCTCTGTAAAAGACCTTGAGGCTCACCCGTGAGACCGCCTCCGCCTGCTCCTTTGTCCCAGAGGCGGGAAAACGGGAAGTGGGGATGAACCCGATAAAATGTATAGGAAGGTGACAGCCTTAAGGCTTTTTCAATGCCTGTTTAACATAGATTTTGATCAATGACTTTGGTGCTGTTTTACTGAAAACATCAGTATTTTGCTCCAAACTTTACCCAGAATTGTACTCCATAAACTCCTAAGCTGACACACCAAATGGGTTTTTCTGCTACCAGGCCCCCTCCCCCACGACAGGATTCTCTCTTTTCTCGTTCAAACAAAATCTACAGAGCCGGGCGCCATGTCGCACACCTGTAATCCCAGCAGTTTGAGAGGCTTGAGACAGGAGGAGCGCGTTCAAAGCCAGCCTCAGCAATTTAGGGAGGCGCTAAGCAACTCAGTGAGACCCTGTCTCTAAATAAAAAATAAAATAGGGCTGGGGATGTGGCTCAGTAGTTGAGTGCTCCTCAGTTCAATCCTGGTACCAAGATGATGATGATGATGATGATGATGATGATGATGGTAGTAGTAATACCTACTGCCTACTGCATGTACTCTCCCCTTCCATGATTATCTGCAGATTTTATTCTTCAAATTTTGCGAAACAAGAACCCAGAATAAAATTGTCGAAGCAGGGAAACTAGTCTGATCTCCGGTTTCAGTATAATGTTAACTTAGCATGCGAATGGTCCTGGGTTTGATCCTCAGTGCAGAGGGGGAAAAAAAAGGAATAATAACAGCATCCATTTCACAAAGGTTTTGTAAGAAGTAATGGGAGTACTGAGTGTAAGCACTTAACAGGGTGACTAGCACCTAGAAACCGTAAATGTGGTTGATTTGGGTTTTGTCGTCCTAACACCAGGTGATCAGCTCTGTGAAAGCACAGTGTTCACTAGCAACACGGGGGTGGTCACAAGCAAAAGTTAAAT